TGTTGGAGAATGGCTCAAGGAGAAAGGTCACAGTGGATCCAGAAATCCCCTGTGTCCAGAAAGTCAATTGTGATAGTTATGGCCTAGGATAGGCCTGAGTCCTTGACTATTGTAACAGTGGAAAAGTACTGAAGGTTGAGCAACAGTGGAAAGCCCCGGAGTGGAAAGTACCGAGAGCAAAACTTGTAACTTTGTTAATACCTTTAGGCTTATAACCTATCAGCTATCGCCAAGTCCGAGAGCAAAACTTGTAACTTTGTTAATACCTTTAGGCTTATAACCTATCAGCTATCGCCAAGTAGAAGCTAATAGCCAATCAGTAACTGACTAGTGGATATAGTTGTATATAAAAGGGAGTGTACCGAGCAAATAAACGAAGTCTGCTTATGCCTCATATTGAGTCTGCTTGCATTCTTCCTCCGCCGAGAAAAGGTAGCACTAATTCCGGACCAAAGACCCTGCTCAATTTTTCACCCGCAATACACCATCAACATCAAGCCTTTGGTCTCTAATACTTGAAAGCTGCCGCCACGGCCAGAAGGGCACATCCTCAACAGGAGGACATGAACATCCAGAATTCTTGGAAGGAAAACACAACCACAGCTAATTGCTTGCAAGGATCTGCCATGCCCCAGCTGCTTGCACAAACATGCTGTCATGCACAAAGACTGTCTCAGAGCCCTCGGGCACTCCAGCACCAGCATAAAAGCCGGCCCAGCGCCTCTGTCCCTCACTCGCCTCTGCTGACGCCTTCTCCTGCGCGCTCAACAAGGTGAGCCTCAAGCCCCTTGCCCTCTGCTCCTGCCCCCCTGCCCCGGCTCTTCCAGCACGCTCTGCCCCAGCCTCAGCACCCCTCACGCCTCCCCAGCACCACAGCCCCACAGCCCCACACCAGCCTCCCCACTGCCTCGCCCTCCTGCACCACCGCCCCTCGCACCCCCACGCCCTCCGCTCTCCCCACACCCTCTCTTCCATTCTCTCCTCTCCTCTCCCCTGACAGGGCCCCTCCACCCCACACACATGGCCTGCTACGACCTCTGCCGCCCCTGCGGACCCACCCCGCTGGCCAACAGCTGCAACGAGCCCTGTGTCAGGCAGTGCGAGGACTCCCGCGTCGTCATCCAGCCTTCCACCGTGCTGGTCACCCTGCCAGGACCCATCCTCAGCTCCTTCCCCCAGAGCACCGCCGTCGGATCCTCCTCATCCGCTGCCGTGGGCAACGTCCTCAGCGCCCAGGGAGTGCCCGTCTCCTCTGGGGGCTTCGGCTACGGCCTTGGCTACGGCTTCGGAGGCCTGGGCTGCTACGGCAGAGGAAGGGGATGCAACATCTGCTAAGGGCCGCTGACAGCATGCCTGATATCAGCCGCCCGCACTGTTGAAGCCATGGCAATGATTGAGGATGCATGTCCGGGCTATTCCTGATCCATAGATCTGCTCTCCACAGCTCCTCCTCTCAAGTCACCAAGAAAGCAAGCAGGCCAAGGGCGAGCTGAAGCTGTTTGTTACCCTTGCCCATGGATCTCATTTTCTTCTCCCACTTCCTTCTCCACTTCACTGCATCTGCTACATCAGGTACTCTCTGTCACAATTGGCATCTCATGAGCTAAGAAAGATTCAAGGGGCCTTTAGCGGGCTTCTCCCAAGTCAGGACAGGAAGACCTCAGTGCTCTGACAACATGTCCTTCAAACAGAAAACCTCAGTGAATGGTCATCCTACTCACACCTTACACCAGCTCTCTACCACCTTATGATTTTACATTTTCATTCCTTTGCCTCAATAAAATTCTTCTGCATCCCAGCCTGTGACTTTTCTTCTTTCTTACTTCAACCAAGGATCTTCCAACTTCACACAGCACAAAGCCAGGACATTGGGGGGGGGAGGGGGGGCGGTGGAAAAGGACCTCGAGGTCTTGAGCACCAAATATGCCACCACAACCAGCAACAACACAGTCTGACATGTGGAGGTCTTCCAGAATGCCATACAAGCCCATCACTGGCTAAAACAAATGATTTTGTAACGCTCCCCCTTGCATGCCTCTGATGAAGTGCCCCTGTCCCACCACACACTGGACTAACTCTCCTCCCCAGCAAGGCTCTCCAGCCCTCCCAGCAAACAGAATCACACAACCATTCGGTTTGGCATAAACCTTTGGATAGCAGCTGCTTCACCCCCTCTGACACAGCAGGGCCACTTATAGCAGCTTGTCCTAACCATGCCCAGTTGGGTTTTCAGTAGATCCCACCCAGGAGACTCCACAACCTCTTCCACCTATTGACCAACCTCACACGGAAAACGCCAATGCCAGTTCCGCAATCCCTTCTTTGCCCATGGAATTCCATCTGTTTTCCCATGTGGCCACAGCCTAATCGCGAGCCTCTGGGCCCAGCCCTTCAGCCGCTTCGCAGTCCACCTCACTGGGCCCTTGTACAACCCAGGCTTTCTCCACTTCTCTAGGAACATGTAATGGGAGACAGTGACAAAGGTTTCCTTCAAGTACAGCTCAACAACAGACATAGCTCGGCCTCTCTCCAACACCCAGTGGCTTCAATGGAAAAGACACAGAGATCGCTCAAGCATAATTTACCCTCTCAAAATCCACATCAAAAACCACAGCCTGTCACCTTGACCTTGCTGGGCATGGCTCTCCTTTCAAGGAAAGCTTTTCATCCACCTCCATGTATCTCTTCCACTGAGGAGCCCAAAACTGGACACAGAACTCCAGGTGATGCTTTGCCAAGGAGCAGAAGAGTGTCCATTCCTCCCCTTGCTGCAAGGACCTTGGGTATCCCATGCAGGGTGCCAGGGTCACCACCCTCTTTGCTATGCAGTTCTTCTCTGATCCAGGTGGGGGGCTGGTGTTGCACTGACCACCTGGCTGCTAGGTCCCCATTCCAAACACACCAGTATTCCCAGCCCGTGGTCTCACCTTGCTATGGGTTCCACAAATGTTGCCTTGGAGGTTCTGCAGCCACCAGCCCCTCTTCACTGCATGGCCCAACAGTGACCCACGCAGGGGATCTTCTGACCAACATCCTCCCTGCTGCAGAATCTCGGGACCATCTCTGCAGGCGGCCCCAACTCACCACCCCTCTGCTCTGAGGTCACACAGAAAGCCCCCGCTCTGAGCTCACAGTGATCCTCACCTTGGTCCAGACAGGCCCTGCAGGGGACACTGGGACAAGTGCTGGACCAAGCCTGTGACCCAGCCCTGCTGTGAAGATGGGGCTCTCTGTGGTGTTTACTTTGGCAGGGCACCAAGTGCTCTCTGAGCTGCTCTATCACTCCTTTTCCTTAAGAGGATGATATGAGCAGAATATGACAAAAGGCTCCTGAGTCGAAATAAGGACATGGAGATAACTCACAGGTTTCCAAAGGCGACAAAACACACCTGACTCAGGGAATTTGATTTAAATTATCAAAATCAAAAGTCAGAGTAGAATTATGAGAAATAAAAACAAACCTGAAAACACCTTCCCCCTCTCCCTCCCTTCCTTAGGTTCAACTTCCCTCCTGAAGTACGTATTCCCTTGCCCTAAACAGCACAAAGGGATGAGGAACTGAGGATTGTGATCAGCTGAACAGACATTGTCGCTTCTCTTTCCTTCTCACACTCTTTCCCTGCTCCATCCTGGGATCCCTTCACGGGAAGTGGTTCTCCATGAATTTATGCACCACAGATAATCTCAAGAGGCTCTACCACACATGGGGAAAGTTTCAGGCCTCATCACATAAAGCCACATTGACAAACCTGTGCCTACAAAAAACTTTCCAGAAAAATACATTACTCCAAGTGACAACCTTAGAGCAAAAAGGGCACTGAGACACCCACAGAGCTCACCCAACAGGAAAGGACAGGACTACAGACAGGCATAGAGAACGGGCAGCAAGGTGGAGAGGGACTGAATGTGATGGAAGAGGCAGCCCCCCAGGGCCAGCACAGCTCCAAAGCCCACACCAGCCTGACAGGGCTGCTACGACATGGGGGCCCCTCATCACAACACATCCCCAAACCATACCACACGAGTGCTGCAAGATGACATCACTGACAACACCTATACCTCTCCAAAGCTTGGCTTCCATGTTTTGCACAATCTCTCACATGCAATCAACACCAAGTTTTTGACCTCTCATACTCCCACTAGAAAGCTGCCGCCAGGACCAGAAGGACACATCCTCAAAGGGAGGACATGAAATTGAAGATCTGCAGCAAGGAAAACACAACCACAGCTAATTGCTTGCAAGGATCTGCCATGCCCCAGCTGCTTGCACAAACATGCTGTCATGCACAAAGACTGTCTCAGAGCCCTCGGGCACTCCAGCACCAGCATAAAAGCCGGCCCAGCGCCCCTGTCCCTCACTCGCCTCTGCTGACGCCTTCTCCTGCGCGCTCAACAAGGTGAGCCTCAAGCCCCTTGCCCTCTGCTCCTGCCCCCCTGCCCCGGCTCTTCCAGCACGCTCTGCCCCAGCCTCAGCACCCCTCACGCCTCCCCAGCACCACAGCCCCACAGCCCCACACCAGCCTCCCCACTGCCTCGCCCTCCTGCACCACCGCCCCTCGCACCCCCACGCCCTCCGCTCTCCCCACACCCTCTCTTCCATTCTCTCCTCTCCTCTCCTCTCCCCTGACAGGGCCCCTCCACCCCACACACATGGCCTGCTACGACCTCTGCCGCCCCTGCGGACCCACCCCGCTGGCCAACAGCTGCAACGAGCCCTGTGTCAGGCAGTGCGAGGACTCCCGCGTCGTCATCCAGCCTTCCACCGTGCTGGTCACCCTGCCAGGACCCATCCTCAGCTCCTTCCCCCAGAGCACCGCCGTCGGATCCTCCTCATCCGCTGCCGTGGGCAACGTCCTCAGCGCCCAGGGAGTGCCCGTCTCCTCTGGGGGCTTCGGCTACGGCCTTGGCTACGGCTTCGGAGGCCTGGGCTGCTACGGCAGAGGAAGGGGATGCGACATCTGCTAAGGGCCATTGACAGCACGCCTGAAACCAACCACCTACACCCTCGTAGCCATGGCAAGGTCTGAGGATGCAGTTCTGGGCAGTTCCTGACACGTGGACCTGCCCTCCACAGCTCCCTCTCTCGAGGCACCAAGAGAAGAAACAGGGCAAGGGGCGTGCCCAGGATGCCTGAAGATATTGCCCCTGCACCTCCTCCTGCTGTACTGCTTCCTTCTTCCCATCATCTCTTTGCCTGTGTCCAGGACTCTCTCCTGTAAACCCCTTCTTACAAGTCAAAGACCATTCGGGTACATCTGGTATGCTGCTTGCACTGCAGGGCAGGAAGAACTGCAAGCAGAAGACTTCTGCTCATGGTCGCACTCCTTGCACCTCAGACTGTCTCACTTCCACTTGGTGCTTTTGGTGCTTTTACATTTTCATTCTTTTGTCTCAATAAATTCTCCAGCATCCCAGCCTGAGTCTCCTCAGAATCATTTTCAACAGCACAAACCTCTCCAGAGAAGGTGCTTTCATCCCTTTTCAAGAACAGGGCAACTGGAGCTGCATTCGTGGCTCCATGGCCAGGTGGTGTTTCAGTAGCTCCCAGCACAGAGACTCCACCACCTCTTCTACTCTTTCTCTTTCTAAACTGGCAAAAAGGCTTGCCTGTTTTGCCCATGCAATCCCATCTCTTTCCCCTTGTACCCAGGGCCTCTTCTGCATGTGCACGCTAGTGACAAGTGCTGGATTCCGACCACTTCTTTCCCTGCCATCAGGGGTTTATTCACATTGATGATGGGCCCCCTCCACATCCTTCTATCTTGGGTGGCTCACTTCTTACCCTCTTCTGTACAAAACATGATCCAGTCCCTCCAGTCTCTTGGTTACCCTGCACTGCTCTTGCTCCTTAAAGTCCAAGTCCTTCCTCACTGGGGAGCCAAGAAATGAATCCCACATGGGATTCTCCTCAGCATTTCTGAGGAGAAAGGGATGGTCCCCTCCCCATCCCCAGTGCAACACTGGTCAGTGCAACCCTGGAGACTGATGGGCCCATTTGTTACAATGGTAGGTTGCCCTTAATGGTCAGTTTCTAACCCATTGGTCCACCAGATATTCCTGCTACACTGGGTCACTTCTCCCCAGAAACAAGACTTTGCATCTGTCCTGGATGAACTCTTGTCCTTCACAACATCCTCCTGGACAAGTTGGTCAAATGTGACATGAGCAGGTACACCATACATTGCATAAAGAACTGCTGAAGAGCAGCGCTGAAAATGTCACAGTGAATGGGGCTAGATGTGCTTTGTGAATGGTCACCTGCAATATTCCTCAGGGCTCCATTCTAGGGCCATTTCTGGACAATACTTTTATCACACATCTACAGGCAGCAGTTGAATGCACTGTTCACAAGTTTGCTGAAGGGACTGGGAGTTGCTGTTGATTCTCTGGAGGGATAAGAGGTCTTGCAGAAGGATCGAGATAGCTTGGAGCACTGGGCAGCCATCAAAGGCATGAAATGTAAGCAGCACAAATGCTGGATTCTGCGCCTGGGATGGAGCGATGCTGGACACAAGCACAGCTGGGAGAGGAGTTCCTGGAGAGCAGGAACTGCAGAAAGGCACCTGGGGGTGCTGGCTGGCAGCAGGTTCAATAGGAGTCAGCAGTGTGCCCTGGCAGACAGGGGGGCAAACCGCATCCTGGGGTGCACGTGACTCTTCACTCAACTCTTGCTCTGATTTTGGCTACCCCAGCTTTTGGTGTGGCCTGAGCTATGCTGGGAGCAGCGCCATGAGGTCAAAATGAGGCAGCATTTAGGCAGAACACATGGCAAGAAAGGGCTGTAGGGGCAATATGCAGCCATTATCACCTGGAAATTGCTGTCTCCTACACATCCCCTTTTGTCTGGCAGTTCACTCAGAAACCACTACATTGTGGAACAGCATCAGACCAAACCTCCAATCTGGAAGGTACAAAGCATCAGCTAACCCTAAAAGGCTTTTGAAGCAGATCTAGCAGCTCCTGGAATGCTGAGGATTTCATGCTTCTAGGAGTGACACAAGTAACATCCAAACCATGACAGAGCAAGAACAAGGAGCACTCTTACCACTGGCAGGTAATTACATATTTTTGCTCATAAGTACACTATGAGAAGACTCAGATGTTGTAAATTATGACTTGTTTGCTGAAGAAGAGGATTTATGTCTTAACCTGCACTGGGCATAAATGAGTACAGCCCCGGTTTCTTGTTTCTTCATTGTATGTCATTATCACCTCAGGACATAGAGTTGAAATAACTGAAGAGATGGACCTGGAAATCTGAGAAACGTAAATGGAGCCTAACACTGGCCACAGGTATGGCTCACCAGCCTCCTGTGTGCCAGATCCACCCTCTTGATTTTCTAACACATACAAAGGGATGAGCTCTACGTCATCCATCAGGAAGCACTGCAAGAAACCCATAAACCACAGACACGAGTGTCACAGAATGACATCACTGACGACACCCCCACCTCTCCAAAGCTTTTGTTGAATGTTCTGCCAAATGCCATGACATGCACCACCAACACCAAGCCTTTGGTCTGTAATACATGAAAGCTGCCGCCAGGGCCAGAAGGGCACGTCCTCAACAGGAGGACATGAACATCCAGAATTCCTGGAAGGAAAACACAACCACACCACACGACTACCAAGACATGACATCACCAATGACACCCCACATCTCCAAAGCTTGGTTTCCATGTTTTGCACAATATCACATGCCATCAACACCAAGTTTTTGACCTGTCATACTCCCACTAGAAAGCTGCAGCCAGGACCAGAAGGACACATCCTCAAAGGGAGGACATGAAATTGAAGAGCTGCAGAATGGAAAACACAACCACAGCTAATTGCTTGCAAGGATCTGCCATGCCCCAGCTGCTTGCACAAACATGCTGTCATGCACAAAGACTGTCTCAGAGCCCTCGGGCACTCCAGCACCATAAAAGCCGGCCCAGCGCCTCTGTCCCTCACTCGCCTCTGCTGACGCCTTCTCCTGCGCGCTCAACAAGGTGAGCCTCAAGCCCCTTGCCCTCTGCTCCTGCCCCCCTGCCCCGGCTCTTCCAGCACGCTCTGCCCCAGCCTCAGCACCCCTCACGCCTCCCCAGCACCACAGCCCCACAGCCCCACACCAGCCTCCCCACTGCCTCGCCCTCCTGCACCACCGCCCCTCGCACCCCCACGCCCTCCGCTCTCCCCACACCCTCTCTTCCAGTCTCTCCTCTCCTCTCCTCTCCCCTGCCAGGGCCCCTCCACCCCACACACATGGCCTGCTACGACCTCTGCCGCCCCTGCGGACCCACCCCGCTGGCCAAGAGCTGCAACGAGCCCTGTGTCAGGCAGTGCGAGGACTCCCGCGTCGTCATCCAGCCTCCCGCCGTGCTGGTCACCCTGCCAGGACCCATCCTCAGCTCCTTCCCCCAGAGCACCGCCGTCGGATCCTCCTCATCCGCTGCCGTGGGCAACGTCCTCAGCGCCCAGGGAGTGCCCGTCTCCTCTGGGGGCTTCGGCTACGGCCTTGGCTACGGCTTCGGAGGCCTGGGCTGCTACGGCAGAGGAAGAGGATGCAACATCTGCTAAGGGCCATTGACAGCACCATGACACCAACCACCCATACAATGGAAAGAACACCATGGACTAAGGACAAAACTTTGGCCCAATGCTGGTACATGCACTCAACATCTACACCTCCTCCCATCAAAGCACAATGAAATCAAGCAGTGAAATAGCCCTGTCCGAGCTACCTTTAACCAAGGTCCTTGGGCAATGTCTTCTCTAACTTCCTTCTCTGCATTGCCCCTTCTGCTATGCTCACCCACTCTCCTGCAAACACCTTCTCACATGACAAACCCAGGAGGTACCAACCTTGTGACATTCACACTGTGGGGCACAAAGATTTCAGGGCCCTGGCAATACCTACGACATACAAGGTCTTACTGGTGCCCCACTTTAACTCTGACTGGTTCCCTTCCACTTGCTGCTCCTGCCTTTTCACTGTGTTTATATTCAATAAACTTCTCCTGCATCACAGCCTCAGGCCCTTCCTCTTCATTTCTTCCATAGACTCATCCAACCTCACCCAGCACAATTACTGGGCTCAACAGGACATCGGGGTGCTTAGAACAGCACCACGAGACCTCTCTTTGGAACTGCAGCACCAATAAGATCACCCACTGGCCCACAAGGAAAGATAATTGCATTCACTCTTCCTATATCCACCAGTGCTCTAACACCATCATAGGAAGACATAAAACCTTTTAGGCATGATTTACGCACTATGAAGCCATGGTGTCTATCAGTGATCACCTTTGTCTTTTCCATGTGCCTTGGCATAGTTTCCAGTACAAACTGCTCCATAATCTCTCCTGTCACAGAGGTGACATTGACCGGCCTTGAATTAACCTGGGCCTTCACTTGGACAACCTGGACCTCACTTGGAATATTGTGTACACTTCTGGTGTCCGCAACATAAAAAGCACATGCAACTGTTGGAACAAATCCAGAGGAGGCCTGCAACAATGACCACAAACTGGAGCACCTCCTGTATGAACATAGGCTGAGAAAGTTGAGGCTGTTCACTCTGGAGAAGAGAAGCTGTGTGGAGACCTCAGAAGAGCTTCCAGTATCTGAAGGGGGCCTATAAGGATGCTGGCGAGGGACTCTTCATTAGGGACTGTAGTGATAGCACAAGGGGTAACTGGCTAAATCTTATACAGGGGAAGTTTAGATTGGATAGAAGGATGAAATTCTTTACTGTGAGGGTGGGGAGGCACTGGAATGTGCTTCCCAGGGAAGTTGTGAATGCTCCATCCCTGTCAGTGTTCAAGGCCAGGTTGGACAAAGCCTTGAGAGACATGGTCTAGTGTGAGGGGTCCCTGCCCATGGCAGGGGGGTTGGAAGTGCATGATCTTAAGGTCCTTTCCAACCCCAACTATTCTATGATTCTATGATTCATTTCCACCTTTTAAATAATGAAGCTATCACCTGCCAACTTGCTGTCTGAGGATTTGATCATATTGGCCAGGTTCTTAATGAGGCTGCTGAACATAATGGCCCCACATCCATGTCCTACACAACTTGACACTTGCCTCCAACTGAATGTCGTGCCACTCGTGACAAGACTCTGGGCTCAGCCCTTCAACCACTTTACACTCCACTGCACTGGCCCGACACACAAAAGGTATTCTGTCAGCTTGATGAGCATGCAAGGCGTGAAAGGGTCAAAGGCTTTATAAAGACAACTGAGGTAAACATCAGCCATGGCTCTCTCCTCATCCACAGTAATGGGCACTTCCACGCAGGGGAGCCACAGTTTGAGCAAGCATGAGTTACTATTTGCAAACATATACAGAGGACTTCACATCAACTTCTCATCATTCCTGGCATTTGCAGTCCTTTCTGGGAAGATTTCCTCCATCACCTTCCATGGGAACAAGCGCAGACTCAACAGCCCCTATTTGCCCAGTTCTTCCTTCCTATTCTTCTTCAAAAGAAGAGGCCATTCAGCTCTTCTAGTTTTCAGGAACCACTTCGTTGTTGCACCGACCTTTGGGCTGCAAGGTCCCCATTCCACACTCATCAGAGTCCACAGGCCATGGTCTTAGCTTGCTATGGGGTCCTCAGCTGAAGCCGTGGATGATCCTCAGACCACCAGCATTGTTGCTAATCTTTGTTCCTCACACTCTACTCATCCTCCATCCTGGGGTCCCTTCCAAGACAAACAGTCCTCCATGAATTTACCCAGCGTGGGTTCTTCAAACAGGATCCATGAGACATGGAGGAAGCTTCTCGCATGTTCTAACAGAAGCCACCACCGCAGCCGCATTTACCAAAACCTGCACACGTAAACCCACTACAACAAGTACAACCTTAGAAGCATAAAGAGACAGCAAGAGACCCACAGAGCTCATCCTACAGGAAAGGACAGGCTTAAAGACAGGCTCAGCAACCTGGTAGCAAGGTGGGGAGGGACCAATTACAATGGAAAAGGCAAGTACTCATAGCCAGCACAGCTCCAAAGCCCAGAAAAGCCTGAGGGCCGCAAGGAAATGGGGCACCCTCTTGACAATGCACCTGCAAACCACAGCATGCGAGTGCCATGCGATGATATCATGGACAAACCCCACCTCTCCAATGTTTCCATTGCATGATCTGCTAAGCGTCCTGAAACGCACCACCAAAACCAAGCATTTGGCCTTTAATATTTGCACTTAAAAGCTGCCGCCAGGGCCAGATGGACACGTTCCCAACAGGAGGACATGCCAATGGAGCGCTGTGGGAAGGAGAACACGCCCCAGCTCGTGACTTGCCAGGCTGTGGCACGCACCAGCTGCTTGCTGACAAATGCTGCCATGCGCAAAGGCTGTCCCGCCCCTCGGGGACCAGCATAAAAGCCGGCCCAGCGCCTCTGTCCCTCACTCGCCTCTGCTGACGCCTTCTCCTGCGCGCGCGCTCAACAAGGTGAGCCTCAAGCCCCTTGCCCTCTGCTCCTGCCCCCCTGCCCCGGCTCTTCCAGCACGCTCTGCCCCCAGCCCCACACCCCTCACGCCTCCCCAGCACCACAGCCCCACAGCCCCACACCAGCCTCCCCACTGCCTCGCCCTCCTGCACCACCGCCCCTCGCACCCCCACGCCCGCCGCTCTCCCCACACCCTCTCTTCCATTCTCTCCTCTCCTCTCCCCTGCCAGGGCCCCTCCACCCCACACACATGGCCTGCTACGACCTCTGCCGCCCCTGCGGACCCACCCCGCTGGCCAACAGCTGCAACGAGCCCTGTGTCAGGCAGTGCGAGGACTCCCGCGTCGTCATCCAGCCTCCCGCCGTGCTGGTCACCCTGCCAGGACCCATCCTCAGCTCCTTCCCCCAGAGCACCGCCGTCGGATCCTCCTCATCCGCTGCCGTGGGCAACGTCCTCAGCGCCCAGGGAGTGCCCGTCTCCTCTGGGGGCTTCGGCTACGGCCTTGGCTACGGCTTCGGAGGCCTGGGCTGCTACGGCAGAGGAAGGGGATGCGACATCTGCTAAGGGCCATTGACAGCACCATGACACCAACCACCCATAGCATGGAAACAACAGCATGGACTAAGGACAAACCTTTGGCCCAATGCTGGTACATGCACTCAACATCTACACCTCCTCCCATCAAAGCACAATGAAATCAAGCAGTGAAAGTGCCCAGCCCAAGCTACCTGGAACCAAGGTCCTTGGGCATTGTCCTCTTCTCTAACTTCCTTCTCTGCATTCCTCCTTCTGCTATGTTCACCCCACTCTCTTGTAAACACCTTCTCACATGACAAACCCAGGAGGTACCAACCTTGTGACATTCACTCTGTGGGGCACAAAGATTTCAGGGCCCTGGCAATACCTACGACATACAAGGTCTTACTGGTGCCCCACTTTAACTCTGACTGGTTCCCTTCCACTTGCTGCTCCTGCCTTTTCACTGTGTTTATATTCAATAAACTTCTCCTGCATCACAGCCTCAGGCCCTTCCTCTTCATTTCTTCCAAAGACTCATCCAGCCTCACCCAGCACAATTACTGGGCTCAACAGGACATCGGGGTGCTTAGAACAGCAGCACGAGACCTCTCTTTGGAACTGTAGCACCAGCAACACCACCCACTGGCACTCAGGGAGCATCCAGCCCATCACTCCGGCTCTTTGCCTATCCAAACAAAGCCTGTGAAACATCGATGACTTTCACCTTTGACACAAGCTCCTCATGTGTGCCGCTTTACCTCTGCCTGGATGCCTGGTGCCCATCCTTCAATTCCACCTCTGTTTCAGAGACAAGATTATTGTGTGGCACCATATCTAATGCTTTGCACAAGGAAAGATAACAGCATTTGCTGTTCCTATACCCACCAGTGCTCTAACACCATCATAGGAAGACACAAAACTTCTCAGGCATGATTTACTCACTATGAAGCCATGGTGTCTGTCAGTGATCACCTTTGTCTTTTCCATGTGCCTTGGCATAGTTTCCAGTACAAACTGGTCCATAATCCCTCCTGTCACAGAGGTGACATTGACCGGCCTTGAATTAACCTGGGCCTTCACTTGGACAATCTGGACCTCACTTGGAATATTGTGTACACTTCTGGTGTCCGCAACATAAAAAGCACATGCAGCTGTTGGAACCAGTCCATAGGTGGCCTATGAGGATGACCAGGGACTGGAGCATCTCTCATATGAAGACAGGCTGAGAAGGTTGAGGCTGTTCACTCTGGAGAAGAGAGGCTGTGTGGCAACCTCAGAGCAGCCTTTCAGTATCTGAAGGGGGCCTATAAGGATGCTGGGGATGGACTCTTCATTAGGGACTGTGGTGATAGGACAAGGGGTAATGGGTTAAACTTAAACAGGGGAAGTTTAGATTGGATAGGAGGAATAAATTCTTTACTGTGAGGGTAGTGAGGCACTGGAATGGGTTGACCAGGGAAGTTGTGAATGCTCCATCCCTTGCAGTGTTCAAGGCCAGGTTGGACGAAGCCTTGAGTGACATGGCTTAGTGTGAGGTGTCCCTGCCCATGGCAGGGGGTTGGAAATGCATGATCTTAAGATCCTTTCCAACCCCAACTATTCTATGATTCATTTCCACATTTCTAATAATGAAGCTCT